ACCACCTCCCCTCCCCCCCCACCAGACCACTGGCAGGTTAGAGGACACTGTCAGCTTGTCGGTACCTCAGAGGGCTCTGGCTTCATTTGAGGGAAATGCCTGCTGCCAGGATAAGCATTTGCCACATAAAATTTAGGCCCTCAGAAACGCTCTGACCCAAACTTTAGCACCAGTTTTTCCCCCATTTCACTTTCTAGGAATAAACAAAAAAGAACCCTGTCCAGAGGCAAGTGACACATGCCTTAAACTTGCTGCCATCCTTAATTTCTTCATCCCTACACTGCTTAAAAGACCAACATTCGCACTCTTCATTTTAAACAGGTTCCTGCCCTCAGCCTCCATGGCCAATGGCAAAGACTGCTATTTCTGAATGGATGAGAGAGACTCCTTCATCTTCTTGGTCATGGTGGGAATGAGGTTCATATGGTCATCCACGCACTTGGTCACACAACTCTCCAGCTGCCGCTTCACCGGATGCTCTTTGCTCCCTGCATCTATGGAGTCTTTGGCTTTGTCGTTGCAATGCATGGTGCACCGGGCCAGGCGGTCCTGGAACTTCTCCAACTCGCTGGTAACCAGGGCCTGGGCTTGAGCCAGAGGTGCGTGGCAGCGCTCAATGCACTGGTGCACCTGCTGCACGGACGCCTGGCTGTCCTCACAACAGTCAGCGCTGCACCGGAACATGAGGCCCTGCATCTTCCGGATATTCTCTCTCTCCAGACTCTTCACCATGGTGTCCACCGCCTCCTGCACCCGAAGCTGCTGCACGTCCGCCATGGCGACCCCGCCGAGGGTTTCTTGACCTTCCCCGTTTTGATAATTCACTGGAACGACTCAAAGAACTCAGTGAGGTGCTCTCCTTAGGATTCGTTCCCGGACAAAGGATACAATTCCATGCCAGCCCCGTGAAGAGACACATGGGATGAGGTCTGAGAGGGTCCCAGACACGGGGCTCCTGTGTCCTCACCCCAGGGAATCAGGACATGTCAACTTCCCATCCGGCTGATGAGACTGCCAACTGGGAAACTCACCTGAGCCTGATAGGTGGGGTTTCATTATGTTGGCATGACTAATTGGACGGTCGGCCACGTGACTGAGCTCGGTCTCCAGCCCCTCTCCTTCCCCACAAGTCAGACTCTAGCATGGCTCACAGCCCCAGCCCTTAAGTTACATACTGGTAGCTGGTGGTTCCGGCATGGCCAGCCCCCACCCCAAGGCTACTAGTCACCCTGAGCTCAGATGTGGTCCAGGGCCCACCATGAGTAACACAGATGCTCACTCCCATCCCTGAGGCAACCCAGAGGATTGAGAAGCTGCTCTCAGAGCCTAGGGTGAAGATTCGGCCCGTGATCTATTCAGCAACAGCTCGATATTCAAAATGCACTGGGGATTGAGTTGTTCCATGTTATTTCTAGTAAATCAAAAATTATGAAGTTCTAAGTTCTCTCTAGAATTGTGAAATGAAGCTTATACACAGGCACACCGTTTTATGCCAGGTCACTGGGAGCTCACAGTTCCCATAGTTAACACAAACAGAGAATTTTGCACCTTTACGCAGATGAAAGTAAGAAAAGTGTTGGAATTCACACACACACACACACACACACACACACACACACACACACGTTTAAAACTAAAAAATACGATGCATCGGACGTTGCACATTCGGTTAGTGGATATATATTTTGAGCCTAAAGAGGACCATCAGCATCTAGTGAGCGCGCCTCGCAGGCACAGAGAGTGAGCTTGCACCTCCGCGAACCGGTGGGCAGGGGGAGGAGGCCTGTGTCCCTGCTGCTGTCGGGGTTCCCTGTGACGTGAAGGAGGAAAGAGCGAGTTCCCCAGGTCTGCATCTCCCCCCAGACTCACTGCAGGTTAGAATCTGATTTTTCTGTTTGGATGGAAAGTTGAATTTTTAAAATTTCCTTAAACCCCTCTATCGCCTGACGGCTTCCGGCCAGATAGGGCGTGTCAAGCTCCATGAGCCCGACGGCTGCCATGAACACGTGTGAAAGGTCCAGGTGCCCCCAGACCTCCTTTAAAATCTCCACCCGGAGGCTTTGGGCAACCCCCCCCCCCCCCAGGACAAAACACCGGCTTTTCAGCTCCTGGAACAGGCCCCTCTCGAGGTCTGTTACTTGGGAGAGAAAATAAATAAGTCATCTTCCTGAGGCTCCAGCTGCCTGAGCTCAGTTTTAAAGGAAGCTTGTCCTGGTGGCTGAGTCCCATTCAAAAGAGGAACAGGGGGCCCTTCCCTGCGGGCTGCGGGGATTTTTGCAAATCACAGTGTCAAAGAGCCTCATTAGCATATGGCTTCCTTCGGAGCAGGGGCTGCGGCACAGAGCCCGGGAAACAGCTGTCATTACCGCCGCCTCACGGCCTCCCATCATCTTTATGGCCAGCGGGAGGAATTCAGACAACGCCTGGGCCGTTATTGATGCTTTTATTTGACATTTCTTTCGGCAGCATCCAGGTAGCAGAGACGGGAGGGCCCCACTGAGTGCGGGTGCGCGTCCGTTCGCTCTGGTCCCTGAGTGGAAGGGGAGGAAAGGCCAGGGCCTTCGGTGGAGGCTGCAGACAGTTGACATGTTAGCCGCAATTTAGGCCGGCGTGTCTGCATAGCGACGCTGGGGGTTGCTCTTTCTGCAAAGACTGTAATTTAAACAAAACGCAAATCGACTCCAAGGCAAAAGCTGTTCGTGGAAGGCCAAGCAGAAGAAGCCACAACAAAGTGAGAAAAGGCCTGGCCTGTGTGGTTCAATGGTTAGGTGTCGACCCACCAAGAGGTCAAGATTCAGTGCCCTTGAGGTCAAAGGCACATATCAGGTTGCAGGCTTGATCCCCCAGTAGGGGGCGTGCAGGAGGCAGCTGATCCATGATGTTTCTCTCTCATTGACGTTTGTATCTCTTTCTCCCTCCCCCTTCCTCTCTTTCTAGAAATCAATAAAAAAACCTTTCTTAAAAAGTGAGAAATGCTGGCACAGCCCCAGGTCCTGGGAAGAAGCTGTGGGGGTGTGGCTGGGTGTGGGGGTGGGGACGGAGACTTCCTCGCCCAGAGGGGTGGCCCTTTCCAGAGTCCCTGCCGTTTCCTGGGACCCACCGCGCAGGTTCCCCCGCACTGTGCACCCAGGTGACTCCACTGGCGTCTGCTCACGTGGCCCGCACCCGACTCCATCCTGCCCACTGCGCCGCCACCGAATCCCGTGCCTCCTGCCTGTGCGTGCCTTCCTTCTCCGCCTCTTTCCTAAATCTTGAAGGGGGTGTGTACCTCGGAAACTGTGGAAAGTGCTTTTCCAAGAGCCGCTCTGGCTGTGGGAGCCTTAGTATTCAGCACACAGGCCACGCTGCCCGCGCCCGGCAGCCCGCGGCGTTGGTGCTTTCGTGTAAAAAGGAGCCGTCATGTTCTCTTGTCCCCGAGATCAGATTGCTCCCAACCACCATCAATAACCTGGAAGAGGGCTCCGCCACTACCATGGAATTTATCAAATTCCTAAGACGGGCCTGGAATGGCTGCCTTTCAAGAGGTTTTGTTAAGAAATGGAAGTAGGGTAGATGATTTTTCTCCGCAGAGATCCTTTTGATTTGCAGGGAAATCTGTTCCCTGGGGCTGGCCTGAACCTCATGCAAACAGGCTGCTCTGGGAACAGCCTGCGGGGAGAGGCGAGGCGGGTGGGGCTCCTGGGTGGATTTCGCTGACACGTGGACGAGGGCAGATATGATTCAGGGCCATGGCCATGCTGAGAGCCACGGAGAGCGTTCCCTGGGAGAGGGGTGAGACCTGCATCCGAAAACCTCAGCCTGCCCCTCCCTTAGTCCTGCAGGCAAGAGCCCAGGGGAACATGGTGAGAAGCTCGTGTTGCTCTTTATAGAAACATCTGGGGCTCCTTCCAGCAAGGAGGGGTCGCTGACCTGCTCCCTGCGCCCTGGGAAGTCCAGCTGACACGGGCGGTGGGTGTTTACAAAGACAAGAAGGCTGTGCAGTGAGGGGTGCAGATCTTACCAATGGTGACCTCACCGGCCCGGGAGCACACAGAGCAGTTTGACCCGCACTGAGCTCAGAGAATGCTGGCTCTGGACAAAACTGTGCTCTCACCTGGCAAATTAAATTCTAGAAGCTCTAAGTCTGTTGCAAATGGATTTTTTTGAAAATCAGCATTTTTACTCTTTCTGCCATGAAGATGAAAATCAACATCAATGAAATGTCCAAGATGACAAGTGGCCATGTCCAAGACTACTTCACTTTTCCTTTCCTTCTTTCCTTTCGAAATGTCCAAGATGACAAGTGGCCATGTCCAAGGCCACCTCCCTTTCCTTTCCGTTTGTTAATCCTCACCCAAGGATATTTTCCCATTCATTGTTAGAAAGAGTGGAGGGAGGGGAGACACAGAGAGCGAGAAACATCAATGTGACAGATTGGTTGCCTCACACACATGCCTCAACCAGGGCCAGGGATCGAGCCTGCAACCTAGCTATGTGCCCTTGATGGGAATTGAATCCAGGACCCTTCAGTCCCGCAGGCTGACGCTCTATCCACTGAGCTAAACCAGCAAGGGCAAGCCACCTCACTTTCAACTCGTTAAGCCCGGCTGAAGCAGCCTTCTCATAGACTCTTCCTGTTATGCAGTATTAAAACTCGCTTTTTTGTTTTATTGGCCCAACTAAGATTTGTGTGAATTATTTTACATAAACTAGAAATCGATTTTTACACCAGCAAATTAAAGCTTAAAGATATTTTCTTCAAAATACATTCACTTTTATTAAAAATATTCATTTTCAATTAAAGCATAATTGTATGCAAATTACTATGAGCCTGAGTCAGGAGATTATAGCTTTCATCATAATTTTTGAGTCCATGGTAAAAAAAAAAAAAAGTAAAGAACCACTGACCTTCTGGACTTTTATAACTTATACTAGAGGCCCGGTACATGAAATTTATGCATGGGGGGAGAGGGGATGTCCCTCAGCCCAGCCTGCACCCTCTCGCAATCCGGGACCCCTCGGGGGATGTCCGACTAGATCCGGCCTAAACCAGCAGTCAGACATCCCTCTCATAGTCTGGGACCATTGGCTCCTTACCCTCACCTTCCTGCCTGCCTGATGGCCCCTAGCCACTCTGCCTGCCTGCCTAATGCTCCTAACTGCCTTTGTCTGCCTGACTGATCACCCCTAACACTCTGCCTGCCTGATTGCCCCAGCCCTTTGCCTGCCTGCCTGATGGCCCCTAACCACTCTGCCTGCCTAATAGCCCCTAACCACTCTGCCTGCCAGCCTGATCTCTCCTAACTGCTCACTTGCCTGCCTGATTGGCCCTAACTGCCTCTGCCTCGGCCCCTGCTACCACAGCTTCATCAAGAAGGATGTCCGGAATGACATCCAGAAGGCCGTTTGGCTGTCCGGTCTAATTAGCATATTATGCTTTTATTATTATAGATGATCAAATTTCCCAAGAGGAATTATTTGCAGTGCTCCTTTTAGATCGTTTAAATAGCATGCATTAAAGAAAAGAACAATGACCAAGCACTGCGGCCCTCACAAAACAGGTGACTGTGTGGGGTCGGAGCAAACTCACACACCCAGCCCAGGCTGCTTGAGGCCACAGTGTCACCCGGCCCTGCTGCCCGCATGCCCTCACGGTCCCTCGCCCGAGTGCTCAGGTCTCCAGGACATTGGCATTGGTCACTGTTTAAAAATAACCCAACTATCAAGACGGGAAAGCTTTTATTCTGGGTGATGCCCTCCCGGAGTGTGTGAGGAAGGGCCTTGGTCTCCTCAGCTATGAAAT